TCACGGCTGGGAGTGCCCGTGAGGGCTGTCTGCTGTGCTTTCCTTGCGTCTGGGAGACATGGGCAGTGGGGGGCACATGGTTGGAAGAGGGAGGCTGTGTTTTGGGAAGAGGGGCACGTAGGAAGGCGGTCACCCAGAGGTGGGGCTGCCCCTGCCAGCCAGACGTGGGGCTCCCGCTGTGTCCAGGCCGGGTTGGAGGCCTGAGTTCCCACCCTCCCTCTGCTGCCTATCTGCATCCTCCCTTTGCTTGGCGTCCCTGACTTAGACGCCGATTGACCGCATAGCCCTGATTTACCCCTGTTGGAAGGCCTCTCTGATTTAAAAAGCAGAGGGGATGAGTTGGCCTGTGCTCTCTGTATGGACCTGCCGTATGTGAGGATCCGTGGGTCTGCTTGTACTTTTCCGCGGGGGCCGTCTAAGCAGACTTTCCACGTGGGACCCCTGTGTGTCTGAGCTTGTGCATTTGGTTGTGCAATTCTGATCCTGCCGCACCCTCCCAGCTCCTTCCTGAAAGTGAAATGCTACAGTCCTTGCTCAAGAACAAAGGCTTGAGCTCAGCCCTGCATGTTAATGATTTTCAAGTGTGGCCACTTCCTCCTGCTGGGCCCGACTCACTCAGCTGCTGCCTGCTGTGGTTGGGATGGAAACCCAACTTGAAGACCCCAGGGACGGACAGGGGGACCCTGCTGGGGGCGGGAGCCAGAGCCTGGGACCCCTGTAGCAGAGGAGGCATATGGCAGGACCGGCCTGCTCAGCTCTGAGCTGGGCTGCACCCCATTCTTTTCTATCTCCCTGCTCCTGGCCAATCCATGCAGCCGCTTCTCTCCTGCCCCCGGGTGACCCCATGTTCCCAACCCTTCTGGAGCCTCAGTTTCCCTCTGTGCCCCATGCAGAGATCAGAGGCTCCCCATTATAAGTGGGGTGACAGTGCAGTGAGTGGTTGGGAACATGGGCTTTGGGGTAGAATCCTGACTTAGCCGCTTGTTATTTAATTCCTCTGTGCCTCCATTTCCCCATCTGCAAGATAACACCTCCTACCTCGTAGGGTTGTTGCTAGGATTCCATGGAGGTGAAGAGCCCAGCATGGTGCCAGCTGAGCCCCTGCTCTCCGGGAACAGGCCCAGCCTAGAGCCTGGCTTGTGGAACTCGCCCCCAGCATTGGAAACTGTAAAGTGCTGTGCACATGAAAAGCACAATCATTTGGGGGCAGTCATCACGTTCAGAGTGAGAGAATGATCTATTTCAGGATTTTTAAACGGCTGGGATCAGCAGACCTTGGCTACAATTCACAGATGTTTCCCACTGTGGAAGCTGGGTTTTCACTCCTGCCTTTGCTGTCGGTCTTTCCTCTTTGCTTATTTGGCACACGCACACGGGTTCCCCCCTTTGTGCCACACAAAGGGAGCACGAATCCGGATTCACCCCGTGTCTGTGGGCTGTGGGCCTGAAAACCACCACGGCTCCTCTGTCAAAGATTCATAAACCTTGAAAGATGAGTCAGTCCTGTTTGCCACCAGCAAGAAGTGCTTGAGCACAAGCTGAATACCTCGTGTTTTAACAGTGCTCATCAAGGAGCCATGGGACTAAGGAGTGTCCAGCTGCTTTGGAAAGGTCCCAGCAATTGCTGGACTGTCCCCATTGTCGCCTCATACCCCTTAAGTCTGGGTGGCTTGCAACCCACTCGTAGGCTGGGGCCATTCCGGCTACACCCTCTCTCCGACCCAGCCCTCGTGCCCATCCCACACTGGAAGGAAGGGAGTGCAGGGTCCACACATCTCTGGCTGGCGGCTTACCCGGGAGGGACAGAGCGGCTATGAGTTTGGGCTTGTGGGGTGATTTGGCAGAGCATTTGTTTGATGACTGTTGATTAAGCCCAGGTGTGTGGGCCTAATGTTTACAGAATCCTGATTGGCTCAGGCTGGAATGAAAAAAAATGGATATTCAGGGGAGTAGGGAGGTGGCATGGATAATCCAAAAGCCATTTGTTCAGGGCTTGGAGCCAGAGATAAGGTATTTTTGCAGATCTCCCTAAATCAGCCAGATAGGAATTCTTTTTAATGTGTGCCTACAGTGTACATCGGCTGCTCCAGTGACTGAACAGTCCACGAAACTCAGCTCAGACAGCTGTGGACCATCTGGGGACTCAGGGCAGACACAGAGGATGCCAAGAATGAAAGAGATCTTGAAGATCATTTAGTCCTCCTTGCCCATTTTTCAGATGGGTACCTGAAGGCTCAGGCAGCAAAATGACTTGCTGAAGTTCACTTGGCTGGTCAGTGATGGAGCTAAAGTCAGAATCTGGGGCCCCAAACTGCATCACTCTGTAAGGTAGTGGTCCTCACACTTTACTGGACATTCAAATGACCTGGGGAACTTGTTAACATACAGATTCCCAGGCTGTAGCCCCAGAAATTCTGATTTCATAGTGGGGTGAAGAATATGTGTCCTTAGCAAACCCCTCAGAGGAGTCTGGTGAAGGCGGTCTCCACCATCCTCTCAGATACATTGCTATAACGCAAAGGGCATTTGGTTTTAGACTGAGAGAAAAGCACACTTGCACTTCCCAGAGCCACATGAGCAGGCCGGTAGCAGTGCGGGGAACAGGCAGAGATGCAAACAGCTCTGGTTAAACCTAGGCTTTAAAGCAGGTTGCAAGAAACTGGTGTGTCAGAAGACTTGACAGCACACTGGTTTCTTTCCTGTGAGGCCATGCAATTTGGATGTGGTGCAGCCCTGGACGACCTTTAGGTCACACATGACGACCCCTTGTCCCTATCTGTAAAATGGCTCTGATGATGGTAGAAGGTAATAATCTGCGGTACTAGATTATCGTGAGGATTAACACGGTGCACGGGAAACACAGCCCAGCAGCACTCAGTAAATGGCAGGTTCTCTGATTACTAATTGCTGGGGGAGGGAGGGGAGGGCAGGCCTCTGCTTAATGTCTTTATGGAATGGATGTCTGCTGAGGATGTTATTTGAGGACAAGGGTTCCGGTTGTGTAGCTAAAGAAAGGGTACAGGTCCTTCCAGCCCTGGGGGACTGGGATGCAGCCACCCCCTTCTGCAGAGGTGTCATCATGGTTTGTACCTAGCTTGGTGGTACCTTTCTCTGGCTCTGATCCGTCCCCCACCCCAACTCATGTCCTTGCATCTCTGGGAGGTTTCAGTGATGGGGAAGGTCAGACTGAATAAGGACTCTTTCTCTCCATTTTCTAGGGATGGAGACTGAGGCCCCCTGGAGGCAAAGCAGGCTGGTTCTGGGACTGCCAGGAGCTCCTGCCCCTTCCCCTGACCGTCAGATTTGAGGGCCAGGGCTACCAGCCCCAGTGGGCCTGCAGCCCTCCTTGCACTCCCATCTGGGAGTTGGTTTTGCAGGGAACCAGAAAGCTGATGCCTTGGCCAGGGTGTGCCACTTCCCATTTCTGGTTCTGGCCAGATTTGCTGCAAATCAGGTCAGCCTGACCTCACCCCTCACCACTGATGCACCTGATGCTGTAAAAACCATTCTGGGCACATTTGGGGAAGAGAGAGAGGGATCGGGGCCTCATCTGGCCCTGCTGTCAGCCTAGCGAAGGGAGGGGCTTGCAGAGTGGGCCGTGGGAAGGCTGAGGGTGCGGTTAGTGCACGTTAGCGTGTGTGTAGGACAGTCTGGCTGGAAGAACACAGCTTTCAAGTTGGGTGAAGAGAGGAGTGGACTGAGTGCCTGGGCTGGGCGGGAGGGTTCAGGAAAATCTAAAGGGAGGGAGCGTGGCCCCTGGCTGTGAGGGCCTGAGGCATCTGTGGCACCTGCCCGTGCAGTGAAGGCTTTGAGGGAGCTGGTGTATGTGGCACACACAGGCACATGAGCTGCGCGTTGCTGCCCTGGGGTGCACGCCCACACGGGGACAGGGCGCTGGCCCAGGAGGCCACAATCTGGGTTCAGATCCCAGCTCTGTGGCCACTGAGCTCTGACCTCAGGCAACACACACCATCTGGCAGGGAGAGCATGGGGTTTCTTCCTGAGGGCATGTGTGGGCACGTGGGTACTGGAGTTGAGCAGTGTGGGTGAGGGAGGGCCACAGGTGGGGAGGGATACCTAGCCCAGTGGTGGCAGAGGAGGGGCGCGGGGGAGGGAGCAGCCTGCGGTTGGGGAGAGTAGCAGGGGCCTGATAAGTGGCTCTAAACAATCCCATCTGCTATCTGGGCTGGGTGGAATTTCTGATGGTGTCCCGGCTGCCTGCCTGAGGTGGATGATGGTCCTCAGGCTGCAGCTGCCTCCTGCTGTTTGAAGCTGGGCCCCTCCCCAAGCCCCTGCTCCCCAGCCCAGGACCTGCATTCCCCAGCTGCTATAGGAAGCACTTCTGAGAAGGGCACTCTCTGTGCCTGTGCTCCTGCTGCCCAGCCCCGAGCCCCTCCCTGGGGGCAGGCCCCTGTCAAACCAGCCCAGCCCCCAGCAGCAGCGGGAGCTCCAAGCAGGGGTCCCAGAGCACCCCAGCCTGAGGTCCTGGAGGCACCTGAGAAGAGCCTTAATGCTGCACACTCTCCCCGCTCAGGGCCGGATTCAAGATCATAACCCCAGGGGCTTCCCTGGTAGCACAGTGGTTAAGAATCCGCCTGCCAATGCAGGGGACACGGGTTCGGGCCCTGGTCTGGGAGGATCCCACATGCCGCAGAGCAACTAAGCCCGTGCGCCACAACTACTGAGCCTGTGCTCTAGAGCCCGTACAACAAGAGAAGCCATCCAATGAGAAGCCGGAGTAGCCCCCACTCGCCGCAACTAGAGAAAGCCCACACGCAGCAACAAAGATCCAACGCAGCCAAAAAAAAAAAAAAAAATCATAACCCCAGCCCTGACTCCTGGGCCAGGCTCTAGACACAGACAGTCTTACTGACAGCTGCCCCGACTGAGAGACCGTGATCCCCCTCAGGAATCTGTCTGAGGAGATACAGGTGTCCCTGTTCTACACGTAAGGAAACGCACTCAGAGATGTTCCACTCACCCAAGCAGCAGTGATCGGGATGGAAGCCGGGGTTAGGCCGGAGCTCAAGCCCATCCTTAACCGCTGCGCTCTTACCCGACACAGCGCCGGTAAAAACCAACTTGTGGTTTCCCCTCCACGGGGAGCTTCCTGGCTAGACCCCGCCCCACTGCGCTGCTCCGGTGGGCCCTCCACACTGTGGTCTGACCTCTGAAACAGCTGTGGCATCAGCCATCACCTTGCCCACCGGGAATCTTTGTGTACCCTGCAACCCTGCCAGGAGATAGGTGGGTCCCTGGCCCTGAGGCTGCGGCTCTGGAAGCACGTGCGAGGCAGGACCTGGGAGAGCTTGCCCAGATAGTCCGGGTAGGAAGGATGGAGTTGGGATTCGAAGGATTACAAAAGTTTTAAAGCCCTGGAGGCTCTGTGCTTTTAAGACTTTTTTCTATCATCATTCAGTTTTTTCGGTTTGGTTTGATTAGGTTTTTTAAAATCAGAGAACAGTATAAGACGGAGGTTAAGAAGAGCATGGACTCTGGGGACAGATTGTTTGGATTCACATTTTGGCTCTGTCACTGACTGTGTGACCCTACATAAGTTATTTAAACTCTCTGAGTCTTAGTTTCCTCATCTGTAAAATGAGTATGATAATTGCTTTACTGTGGGGCGGCTTTGATGAGATAATGCATGCCACGTGTTTAGAAAGTGTGTGGCACATAGTATGTGCTCATAGATATTTGCTATGACTATTATTAAAAAGTAATTCATGGGCTTCCCTGGTGGCGCAGTTGTTGAGAGTCCGCCTGCCGATGCAGGGGACGCGGGTTCATGCCCCGGTCCGGGAAGGTCCCACATGCCGCGGAGTGGCTAGGCCCGTGAGCCATGGCCGCTGAGCCTGCGTGTCTGGAGCCTGTGCTCCGCAACGGGAGAGGCCACAACAACAGTGAGAGGCCCGCGTAACGCAAAAAAAAAAAAAAAAAGTAATTCATGTCAATTGTAGATAATATGCATATGCAAAGAGAACATAGAAAATCACTGGCAGAGCTATCATTTTGATATTCTTTATAGGTTATCTGCTTATTTTATAATTTTTAAATTAATGAACATGAATCAAAATTTAAAAGGTACCAAAGGATTTACAGAGTAAATTTTCCTTGATCTGTCTCTTATGACCTAATTCTCCCCAGTGGAAGCCTATAGTATCAGATTCTTATGAATCCTTTCAGAGCCCTTTCCCTCACCCTCTCCATATGTAGACATACACACACCATAAGGCACTATAGTATAGAGACTATACTTACTTTTCTGTGCCTTGCATTGTTCCCCTAAGCAATAGGTCTTGGGCATAGAGACATACAGAGATGCCTCATTTTTTGTTTACCATTGTATAGTGTTCCATTAAATGTGTTATATGAATTCCATAGAAGTGGAATTCATGGATCAGTGTGTGGGTGCAAAGTGTGTGCTGGTGTGGGGTAAGGGGACAGGAGTTGGGACTTCAGTTCCCAGGACCCTCCTCTGCTCTGAGCACCCCTCCCTAAGCTTGGTTCCTTGGCCTGGACTCCCTGGGCATGCTCAGATACTGAATTATGTGGCATTACTGACTGACCACCTGTCCCAGGGGCCCAGAGACATCTCCTGCCCAGACTTCAGGGCTCAGCACCAGACCATATGCAGGCCCAGCCTGTGGAGGGGTCTTCAGATTAACTGCCTGAAGGACAGGCCCCGGGGCGGGGCAGCTGGCCCCTCTTTCCCAAGGGGCTAGAACTGGGCCAGCAAGAGCTCATGCCTGGAGCCAGCCCAGCTTCACTGCCTTGCACCTGAGCTGCCAGTGCCCCCTTCTCCCAGTTTGGGCCATTGCACTTGGTCCCAGGTACAAACACATTCCTGCCAGCCCAGAGAGGCTCCCCAAGGCTGCAGTCCCTGGGTGGGGCAGCGGGGAGCAGCTTCCCCTCTGTCAACTGAAGTCTCATCTCCTCCCAGGCGCCTGGGTTGAGTGTCTTGGCTGAGCTGGTAATGCTTGTTGATGGAGAGATGGATTGTTGTGGAAATAGTCCCAACCAGTTCAGGTAGAGATGGAAAACAGTTGGTTGCCCAGGCAACTGACAACCTTAGTGGAGTAGAGAAAAGGTAATTGTAAGGAAACTGCCATGGTTCTGTCTTTCCTTCTGGTAGGCTTTGCCTAGACTCCTTCCTCCTCCCTTCTTCCCTGGACATGAGCACCAGGCACCCCCAGCCTCTCCAGGGGCAACTCTGCCCCATTAGGAGTCAATTCAGTTCACAGTTACTGAGTTCTTGCTGTGTGCCTGACTCTGTGCTCAGCTGCGGGAATGCAGAAAGGGGGTCAGGCCTGACGGATTAAGAGTGCCAGATCTGGAGTCAGGTCAGTTTGGCCACTTAGCTGTGTGACCTTGAACAAATTCCTCGACTCCTCTGTGCCTCATTTTTCTATCTATAAAGTGGAAATAGCATGGGTAATACGTACCCCTTAGGGCTGTAGAGAGGATGAAAAGAGTTATTAACATGCATAAGGCACTTGGCATAGTGGTTGGTACATAAAGAAGCAGGCGATAAGTGTTATGTTATCTTTATTGCTACTATTACCATCATTCTACCAAGATGAGCCGAACAAATGACATGTTACTCATGCCTGAGGAGCTTCATCTTGGATCTTTTCAACTGGAAGGCAGAGTTGACTTCTCAGCCCTTTTACGGCAGCCAAGCCCAATGTCTGGGCCTCAGGAACAAAGATGAACAATGGTGTCCTTAGAACTGAAGCTCCGGGGCCAATCCTTTCATAGGGTAGGGACCTTATTAACTTCCTTTGAAACCTCTTGCCCTAGTCCATACCCATCAGCCCCCATCAGCTAGAGACCTGCCCACAGAAGTTGAAGCAAGAGAGAGAAAAATTAGGAAAGAAAACACCTTTTTTCATTTTTTTTCTCCTATAGATTTTTAAAAGATATTACGGGGGTAGGTAGATTTCTTTTCTGCCCCAGCCTTAGATTGGACTAATTGATGGGGGATGGCCCAGAGAGGTAAGTGGCTAACCCAAGGTCACACAGCCAGGCATGGCAGAACTGAGTCTGCCTCTCCCTCTCTTCCTCCTCCTCCTTCTCTTAGGTCCAATAAGGCCTCCTTTTCCCAATGGCCGTGCCTGAGGGTCCTCTCTGCCCTTCCTGACACCCCCCTCCCCGGGGGGTGGGCACAGGTGTGGCTGCCCAGCAGCTCCCGGTGCCTCGGGAATGAATGAGGCTGGCTTTGTTGCGGCCCCAGCAGCTGCGGCCGTTTGAGTTTCCATTAAGCCCTTTCTGCGCCTTGGTCTGGAGCAGGAGGCTCGGCATTTAAAGGTCACCCGGCGTTTGAAGCTGCAGTGACATTAATAGCTTGGGAAGAAAACAAGACTGCGCGGGGACCGGAGGACAAGGCGCCTCTGTCAGAGCTGTCCCCCGCCCCCCCTCCCCCGCCGGGTGCTCACGCGCATACACACACACTTACACACTCGGACACACACACACACACACACAGACCCTGACAGCCTCTCTCTGTCTCTTGTCCCGCCCTCCTTTCTCCCCTTTTGGGGCCTCTCCAGCTCAGAAGCCAAGAAGCTCAGGCAGACTTCCCTGTGCCCTGCCCCCATCACGTCTGAGGTGACAATTGGACAAGGATGCAGCTGCCCCAGGCCCAGCAGCCTCTCCATTAACATTGCCGTTGCCCACTTGAGGTTTCCCCAGGACTTAACCATGGTTACACAAGCATCCCAGGGGTCATATGACCTCATTCTGGCCCTGCTGGCTTTTGCAGCCCGGATTCCTAATGAGACAACATAAGCCTGGGCCTGGTCTTCTCATACGGGAAATGAAAGGGCTGGCAAGCAGGGTGTATCTTGCTTGCCAGTTCTAATCACTTGGTAGTGGCTTGCCCAGAGCACTGAGTTGAAAAGGCTTCTGAGGCTGTGCGGGTTCCATAGGACAGTACCTAGATGGATTAGTGATGTCTGCCAAGGACACAGGATATAAATAAGTGGCGTGTGTGCCTTGTATTTCACACCTTGGGAATAAATTATTTTGAAACTCTTCCAGTCTTGGATTCTAAGATCCCTGGAGTGGCTGGGTGGCTCCTCTTCCTTTTAGTCAGCCCGAGAGTAGGGGGTGGGGCTGATTTTTGAGTTCTTGGAGAGAAGCTGATCTGTATGCCCTTTCCTGAGAGCAGCTGTGGCCTGAGCCCTGGGACACCACCTAGTGGCCTGGAATGGTAGTGCCGTTGGGCTGGGCCCAGATCTTATGCAAGAAGGGACAGCGAGTCCCTCTGCAGGCTGTGATCACAGCAATTACAGATAGATCACAAGATTCGGTCTGTCCCTGGAAGTTTTCAGAGGAGGGAGCCAGGGGTGTGCAGGGACACAGCTGGCCTCGGGTAGTCACTTCAGAAGAATGGGGAGGGGGGGCGTGCAGAAAAGTGCTGGCAATTGGGACCTCTGGCCTCCCAGCCCCATACCTCCTCCTGAGGCCTCCTCTTCTAATCCCCACCTTTTGGGGTTGAGTCCTGGTCCTCCTGGGAGGCAGCAGAGTATCAATTCAGGTGTTGGAGGGGGTCGATCTCTCCTGCCCGCTGGAGCTGTCGCTGGCTTGGAAAGAAGACCAACAGACCAGCCTTGTGTGCCAGGGAGGAGGCCCTCAGGCCAGGTGGCAGAGGGCTCAGGCACCTTAACCGTGTCACTGAGCAGCCTTGGCCTTGGTCGCTTCGTCTGTGAAGTGGGGTAATAATGCACACCCTGTATAAATGATAGGTTTGTCGTGAGGACTAAATGAGAATGCAGAGAAGACAGGGCTTTGGAAATGAAGAAAGCACCCCGTCCCCACCGTTGATATGAGCCGGAGAAGGAAGAGAGAGGAAGGGAACCCACGGTTGCTGCACTCCAACTTCTTTCCTTCCCTTCTTTACTCATCCGCCTGATAAGTTACGTTGGAGCTGCTGTTGGACATCCACGTGGAGGCAGCGGGTCAGCTGTGCAAGTGTGGAGTTCAAGGGCGTGTTCCCGGGAGACCTCAGGGGGAGAGACATGTGGGAGCCAATATTCGGCGTGTAGACAGTATCAGAGCTGTGGGACTGGATGAGATCACTCAAGGTTTGAGTGTAGCTCAGGAAAAGGGCCAAGACCCGGGCCGGAGGTCGCACCAACCTGTCTTGTTGGCTGCTTCCTATGCCGAGGCACCCGTATAAATTCTATCACAACACATAGGTATGATCCCAACTTTGACAGACGAGGAAGCTGAGGTTCAGAGAAGTGAAATAATTTCTCCAAGTCACACAGCCTTACCAGGCCCAGGCAGAATGGGAATCCATTCTGGCTCCTGGGCTCTCACATCCCCCATGTGGACCCTACCTGGCCCTGCAGGAGACTGGCTGGGATGACCTTGGGCAAAGTCGGGAGAATGACTCTCCGACTCTCGGACAGCTGGCCCACCTCCCTGGGCCAGGCCGGGAGTGACTCAGGCCTTGGCTGTCTACACACGCTTGGAGGGAAGCTTGGCTGTCTGCCGCCCCTGCCAGGCCTGGATTCCTTTCTGGGGAGGCGGAAGGCCTGGCTCCCTGGGACCTGGGGGAGGACAGGTGTGGGGTTTCGGCTTCCCAATCCCCAGGTTGCTCACAACCTGTGAGTTCAGGAGAGCCTCTGAGTCTGCCTCCAAGAGGTCTAATGGGCTCAGCAGGTTAGATTCACTTCCTTTTTCAGAAGTCAGGGGTTATCTCCCTCTGTTTCCCTGCCAGTGCCCAGCAAGCCAGGGTTCAGAGAGGCGGAGGAGTGATTTCCCCAAGGTCACAGAGCCAGTTCTGGGGCAGAGCCAACAGACCCCCTCCCTGCCCTCCCTCCGCCAGTGCCGTCTGGGTCACATTTCCTCTGCTGGAATGTCAGCCAGGCTGTGCCGTCTCCTGAGCCTTTCTGAGGTTCCTCCGCTCCTAGCCCTGCAGGCCTGACTTGGCATTTTTGCCTCTTAGGAAATGGGTTCCTAATTCTGGCTTCTCTACACACTAGCTGTGTGACTTTGTACAAGTTACCTAACTTCTCTGAACTGGTTTTCACAGCTATAAAGTGGGGACAATAACATCTATCTCTGGAGTTGTAAAAAAGAGATTAAACGTGAAAGCGCCTGGCACAAGCTCGTACACCTAAGCTGCCTACTTCATTTTTTCATGTGTTTAAAATTTTTTTTCATTTGAGCTGTGCCGGTTGGAGAAGGCAGCCTGGCACGGATGACTCTGACCCTGAGGACAGTCCTCCCTGCTCCCAGCCACGCCGGCCAAACCTCAGCCCTGGCCTCAGCCTTTGCACTTGAGCTCAGCGAGGGCTGGGGAGATGGTCCTTTGAGAAATGGGGGCCCTCACAGCGGCCCCTCCTGGTGTTAATTGTAGGCAGCCTGGCTTTGGGGGTCCGTGGGTCCTTGCAGAGTCCTATGAAAATGGCATTTCTCTACACTGAATCCTGTTTCCCATTACTGTTTCTGAGCCACTTTCTCCTCATCCACAGAAACGCTCTCTGATGGAAAAGTCAAGGCTTTACCGCTCCTGCTCTGTGTCCTGGGCATCTCCTCTGGTCCTGGGTTTCGGCTCTTCATCTGTAATGTGCAGCAGGCTGTAGCGTTGTTGGCCGTTTTCATGTCGCGGCAGACACACAACGTGCTCTTTTTCAAGGCTTTGCACCTGGGGTAAATGGAAGCAGCTGCTGCGGCCCAGCCTCCCCTGGGGCTGTGAGGATCGGTATCTCCTTCCCGAGGGCTGACAGAATTTCGGGGGGTTGATATCCAGATGCTGGGGAAGGATTGCCTAGAATCCCCCGCCCCACCCACTCCAGGAGCAGCTTGGCTGGCATACCAACTGCCCCTGGCTCTCTGCCTGCCTTGTGGGGCAGTGGCAACAACAGTCACCCAGCTAACCACGTTCCAGGCACTGTGCTGAGGATTATCCTGTTTAATTCTCATGGAAGCCCCATTCGTATAGGTGAGGGATTGGGCACAGAGAGGACAGGGGATGGGTACCAGGTCCCACAGCTGGAGCGGCAGAGCGGGAGTTGCAGCCTGGGGCTGAATCAGGGCACTTACTTAAACGGTAGGAGGGCAAGAAGGTTTCCTGGGGGCTTCCCGACACTCAGGCCTGGAGCCCGAGGGACCTGTAAAGAGGGCTGTTAATGGGGAAAACGTGGACCCCATCATCTTCCTTCTTCCTCTGTCAGGGAGGGGATCAGGTCCTGGCCTCTTTCTCCAAGGGGCTGCCCTTGGCAAAGTGAGAGCCAGGTCCCTCAATCTGAAATTACTCGAGCGGGAGGGCGAAGGTGGTGAAGGTGGCTGACTCCAGAGGCGTTAGCATAAGGCACTGACCCCCATGTGTGACGACACCAGGACAGCAGATTGCAGCCCAGGGCACGGCTTCTGGGGCCTCCTGGCCCTGAGGTCCTTGTCAGAAGCCTCAGGGCAAGTTTCCAGAACGCAGGACAAAGGTAGACACCAGGGTGGAGCCCCACTTTGGAGGGTGTTTTGGCAGCATCCTCTGACCTTACAGTGTGTCAGGGCGGGTGGAAGGTGTGGGTGAGGGGAGTTGGGGTGTCTAAAGCCAGCTGTGGGAGGCCACGTCACACTTGACTCCCCTCCTGTGTTCATCCTCATAACACATTTCTTGGACAGATCCTTTGAGGTCACTCCTCTGTGCTTCCTTGTGCACTGGCTTTGGCCTCTCTGAGCTGTGACTCGCTCATCTGGGAGGCTTTGGCCTCTCTGAGCTGTGACTCGCTCATCTGGGAAGCGACGGGGTGGAGGAGGTTGGATAATAAATCATACTCCACCCAGTCATCAGAATACTACTCAGGCATTAAGGACCATGAAGGGGATCTCTATGTTCTGACATGAGAAGATGGCTACAATCAATCATTAAGTGGAAAAAAGGAAGTTGCATAGTAGAATTTATGGTCTGATCACATTTCAGTAAAATGAATTCATACATATGGTAGTATGTGCATAGAAAAATGTATCTGCATGTAGATATTCCAGTGTTAAGAGGTTTTCTCTGGGGTTGGGAGGGGATTATAGTTCTGTAACATCAGTGTCCGGAGGCTGCATGGGGCCCATGTGCTTCTAGTTTCCTGCTCTTAAACACAGCCCGCCTCCCTGGGACTAGGCAGACACCCACCCAGCAAGCCGAGAGAGCATGAGCCCCGGACAATTTCCACGTCCCTCGAAGGAGGTGGAGGTTTGAAGGAGATAAGAATCTCAGCATGGTGGCACTGGAAGGCACTGGGGGACAGTATGAAGCCCCACTTTTACCTGTGAGGGGACTAACCTTTAGGGACAGAAGGAATCGGTGGTAGTGATGTGTCTTCTGGCCTCAGGGTGAGGGAGGGCGCTTCCAATGCACCTTCCACACCCTCTGGTCTGGTCTTCCTTTCATCATCAGTTAACTGTGGAGATCATGGCAAGGAAGATCATGCTGATTTGCTCACACCAGCTCTTCTCTATCATCTGTTAAGATGATGACCCCGAGTACTAGAAAAGGACTTAAGAATATCCTTTGCTGGAACAGTCCCTTAAAATAAAGCTGCCACTTTTCTACAATTAGCAAAATTACCGTACATCCTGGGATAAGCATGAGAAAGTCAGAACTTGATGTTTTTGGACACATTCAACTCTCAGTTACCTGCACGAGCAGAAGTGCTATCTTGGAAGTGATTTACAGGCCTGGTTCTGAGTGGGCTGCACTGCGTTCTGTTGCAGATTTCCTGGAGCTCTGCACAAGTGGATGCCATGATGGTGGGGCCCTGAGGTGAGGGAGCTAAGGAAAGCAGAGACTGGATGGGCTGAAGACCAGTGGGGGAGGACATTGCCTATACAGAGCCCCTCCTGCCCCAGTCAAGTCTCTAGGAGTCCTTGGCAGTGTGTGTAGTGGTTGAGACCAGTGGCTCAGGGGCCATAGTGCTGGGTTCAAATCCGGCCTCCTCCACTTTCTCAGGTCTGTGCCTCTGCATAAGGGGGATAATAGCACCTACCTCATAGTGGTGTCAGGATGTAAGCCCTTGCTAACAGGTAAAGAGCTGTGGCTGTTTACCGCAGCTGGAGAGAAAGCAGAAAGAAGCTGTTCTCCTGTGGGCTTGGCGGGGGTCGCCGAGTTCGTTGCATTCTGCCCCTGACTCTTGTCTCCCTCGGTTTCAGGTGGGATGGTCCGTGGAGCCGGACCCAGGATGCTCCCGGGGTGTGGATGACCAGCCGCCCAGCCCTGCACGGCCCAGGCCCGGATGCCGCGCCCTTGTCTCCTGACCCGGGGACCCCGCCCGTCGCGGGACTGAGCTTCCAGAAGCCGCCGAGCGAGCGGCGACGGCGCAGGGACCCGGGGGAAGGGGCTCGGCGCCGGCGGG